ATATATATATAGATATAAATATATATATATATATATATATATATATATAGCTATATATATATATACTTTCCTCGGTTTGCACCAGAACACCAAGGCCAGTTCTTTGTATCCAAAAAAACGTAATAAACCTGATTTGTAGTTGAAAGTTTCATCCACTTGTGACATTTAACTAGATTTGTTTTAGTCTTTGGAACTGGACTGGAGACAGATGATGATCCAGATGAAGTCAGTGTCACTTTTAGAGACAAAACAAAGACCAAACAAACTGCTCATTAAGATGTTAGACAGATTTTCAGTCCAGCTGATGAACTCTGACGTGGATCCTGAAACAGATGATGATGCTTTCTGTGAATAAGGTTTAGGTTTTAGGTCAGAGAGCTGTTAATGTTAGAGTCCACATACCTGAGAGAGTACATGAGTGTGGGACTGACAGGACTGTGAATAGAGCAATCAGCAGGTATAGGCGTCCTGAAAGACCCCTGGACACACCTGGACACACCTGGCCAGACAAAAGGACTAATTGGTTGTTGTGGTCTGAGCGATGGTGGACTCTGTGGGCGGTCGGAGAGAAAGAAAGGAAGGAATAACGTCTGGAAATGAAGAGAGGAGACAGGAAAACAGAGGATAAATGATGGTGAGAAGGGAAAACAGAAAGAAACAGTAAAGAAAGATGTGACGATATAAAAAATATGAGACAGGAAGAATAGAAGAACAGAACTTTACAGAATGGGTTCCACATACATGAAAACAACCAATCACAGCTGTTGGGTTAGAAATCCGAGTTCTGGTGTCACAACTGTCCCCAATAACGACCCAGATCCAAAGTGGGGAAAGAAATTGGGCTCTTACGTCCGAATCCAGACAGACAAACATAACTCCCTCCTGGATTGGTGTGTTTCAAAAAGTTGGACTCCTTAAATGACAACTCCTGCCTTTGTTGTGTTTCAGGAGACTGCCCGTCCTTCATCAGGCAGAGGGATCTGAGCATGCTGAGACATGCTTTTATTACTCGACTTAAGTTATATTTATTCATCTTTTCTGACATGATCTGTACTAGTAACATTTATTTCACTGTAAAATCAGATTCAGGTTCATTTAACTAAAACAAATTAAACTGATTACAGTTACAAAAAAAAACATAATTGATCAAGTAGCTTTTGTAATTTTAAGTGGCACTGACTTAATTTTATGCTGTGAAAACAAAATAACTAGTAAAAATCTTAAAAAGTGAAAAGTGCTTAATCAGGAATTCTGTAACTTAAAAAAGTGAGTTTGTGTTATTTACAAATTTTTGTTTTTTTAATCCGTTTTAAACAATTTAACAAAACAGACAAATCAAGTTATTTGCCAACTTGATACGTAAGAAAAGACACTTCTCAGCAAATCTCTATAAACAGATATCTGCACATTAATCCAGATACATAAAAACAGAGATGGTTTTCCTGCAGGAAACCAGTAAGTAATGCAGAAATGTTCTTTTGTAATTTTGTCCTGTGATGTCTCAGCTGACAGGAGTCAATAAACAGTAGTAATGCTGCTCTAAAATATAATACAAGCTAATGGAAGCTGAATCAGGACTTTTCTTGTTAGTTTTAGTGATGTGAAAGCTGCTGTGGTCTTGTTAACTTCACCTTTAAACCGTAGCTTTTTATATTTTTTATTGTCTTATAAGTGATATTTTCAGACACGTTTCAAGAAGTGAAATAGAAAAAAGATAATTAAAATCTTATTCTTTATATTTGATAGGTCTAAGGTCATTGCAGTGGTGTGAAGGGTGTGGTGCTACAATGTGCATTTTGAACTCAGTATTATTTGCATGTGATGATGAAGAAGATGTAAATGCGCAGCGTTTATTTACATTCGCTCATTTGCGGTGCTCAACCCCTCGGCTGACTTTAAAAAAGCGAGGACATTTTGTACAGTGAGGAAGATGAGGGGAAGAAAAGTCAAAAGATGAAGTGAAGAAAGAGCAGAAGAGCACATGAAGACAAATCAGAGGTCACATTGTTCAGTCCCTCCAGGAAGCTGCAATCAATTTGGTCCAATCAACACAACTTTTCCGCAGTTTGACCAATCATTGTAGTTTCCTATTTAAAACCCCATTCGTCACCAAAAAGCCTACAAACATCGCAACATGGGTCAGTTTTTTAGAAAAGCTGTGAAATCAATCATCCCTTTCTTGTAAATAAAATTAAATCTTGTAAAAAAAATGCTAATCTTGACATGCGTAGTAACAGTAACTATGTGTGGCGTTGTTTAACGAAGGGTCAGCTGATAACTCAACAAACGCACTAATTCATTTCCATATGTGGTGTTTACTAACTGAGGCTCAGTGATAAACATGATGGTCAATTAAGTCAATGACCCTCACACACACACACACACACACACACACACACACACAGGGCAGTTAGCTGAGTGTGTGTGTGTGTGTGTGTGTGTGTTAGTTCTGTCTATGTGAGGACATTTATTATTATTAATAAGTGGAGACATTGTTGGAAAGTAAGGGCAGCTGAGTGTTTATCCTCAGCTCCTTGGTCTGGCTCGTCTAACAAGCTCGTTAGCGTCTCTCGGCACACGGCAGAATAAAAGTGGTGGAACATCTGGAGCATCTTGCCTGGAAACTGATTAAAATGACCAAATATCTTGGAAATAATCTACGTTGTCATGGATATTTTTTGTGTTTTAGCCCCTCACTCAGAAACCTGAGTGCTTTTTTGTTTGAAACTGGACTGTCGGTTGGATGAACTGTACAAATCTTGGGTTTAATCAGATCACAGATCACATCTGTATTTTCCAGAAATGCTCCATACATACAGCTTATTGATTGTTGCTGTGGTTGATAAATACATGCACAGTGTTACTTGTTACTTTCTAGAAGATACATTTTCTGTAAAATAAAATAAATTCTATTTGATTTGAACTTTTACTGATACAGTAAAAGTATTCAAGAAAAACTCCTGGAAAATGATTTGTTAAAACTCTGAGCAGAGAGCAGATCACTGTGCAGATCAGGCACAGAAATGGCATAAAGAATCTGGTCAATTTTCAAATAAAATACCCCGTGCAGACTTTGGAACAGATTTCCTGCTGCATAAAAAAAAGAAAGAAATAACAAAAATAAACACGTTTAAAACCATTAAATTAAGTTGCCATGTCATAAGGCCGAGGCCTGGTGGAGGTTCAGCGTTACCCTTTACCCTCTAACATGCAATACAAACTTTTCCTAAACAGACTTTGGCGGCATTCACTGTCAGTTTTTTCCTGGTTAAATGTTGTGTTAGTTAAATGTTGTGTTAGTTATCTCCGACTCGGAGACGTCAGGTGAGTGAAGCAAATGAATGCCAGCAACCTTTTTAATGCCAGAAAGCAGCCACATTAGCCGGGGCGATGTCCGTCCTTCCTCACTGTTTGTTCACTTCTCTGACGCGTTATTTGAACAGAGCTCATAAACGCGGCACGTTTGGCAGATCTTCACTAAATACTCGGAGGTTGGAACTTCCCACAATCACCTGCAGACTCCTGATTTGTTTACAGGCGGTTTTGGTTTCTAATTGACCTGCGTGACCCCGACTGAAGCAGAATGCAAATATATGATATGAGTGATTGCGACCATTCAGAAAGCACCACATGAGTCAAAACAAGTACTTTTTCTAGTGAGTGGAAGCAGGGGCGTTTCCAGACTTCTTTGACTGGAGGGGCCCTGACTTATACAGGGGGGGCAGGAAGTTTGTGTCTCAGCTTACCAGTTATTCTTAATTTCATTAAATTTCATCATTATTCAAACATTAAAATAACACATTTTATACCACAGGCAAAACACTGCATGGGATTACCATAAAGAGACTTGTTGGTTCCTATAGAGACCATTTCCATTCAGATATCTTGAGGTCAGAGGTCAACACATACACACACACACACACACACACACCTGTAAAATCTCTCTGTTCATGCAGTGAGACAGTCTGCAGTCAGCAGGATTATGGCTCCATTCATACACACAATAACTGCATTCAGCAGGAGGCCTCTGTCTGTCTGTCTGTCTCTCACTGTTGAGCCCCTCTTACCATCAACCTAAACACTGACGGTAAGAGAGATTTACTTTAATGACCGCACACACACACACACACACAGTGGTATTTATTTGTGCAGATGGTTACTACAGAGGTTGAATGTGTCTTTATTCCTTCAGTGTGTTTTTTCTTTACTGTGTGAGTGTGTGACTTTCAGCAGATAGGAAGTGGAAACTCCATAACCCACGTTATGGTGATATCCTCACATG